TGCACCCCGCACACCCCCCAGCCGCCAACACGCCACTTCCCCGGTGCCGGCCGCGACCGTTTTGTTGTGATTCGGTGCATAACGATAGAAGCTAAAGTTTAAATGTGCGTGTGTGTATGTGCGTGACGTGGGTAATAAGCTTTATTAAAAGATGCCCCGAGTTAGCATTGCTGGAAGGACAGCCTGGGAGTTTATGGTGGATTTCTTTCTCTCTCTATGTTTGCGCTTTCCTGCTCTTAATTTTATTGAAATGCTTAGTGGGAGAAACAAAGGTTGGAGGGGCTGCTGCTTTACTAGCTTTTGTTTACTTACAATCAAGTTTTTCCTGTTCGGAGCAGGTGCGAAAGGATGAGAAGCATGTTGTGTTGGTTCCCCCCCACCCCCTTAATAAAACTATTACAGACAATTAACAGTAAACGTTATCTCCAAGGCTGTTTCTTTGGCTTGTGTTACCAAAAAGCCGATCTGTTTGTTACAGCTGCTAGGAGGCTTTAGTTTACAGTAGCATTCAAGTTTTTCCTGTTTTGAACAGGTTATGAAGGAAGAATGGAGTTTCCAGACCATAGCCGCCAGTTGCTGCAGTGTCTGAGTCAGCAGCGTCACCAGGGCTTCCTGTGTGACTGTACTGTTTTAGTTGGAGAAGCTCAATTCAGAGCTCACAGAGCCGTTCTCGCTTCTTGCAGTATGTACTTCCATCTTTTCTACAGGGACCAGTTAGACAAAAGGGATATTGTGCATCTGAACAGTGACATTGTCACAGCCCCAGCCTTCAGCCTGCTGCTCGAATTCATGTACGAGGGAAAGCTGGAATTCAACAGTCTCCCGGTGGAAGATGTGCTGGCTGCGGCTAGCTACCTTCACATGTATGACATTGTGAAAGTCTGCAAGGGCAAGTTGAAAGATAAAGAATTATGTTCGGAAGAGAAGATTAATGATGAGGCGGCTGGTTTGGAGAAAGCGGAGCATTTTCTAGATGCTGGAGTGCCCCTGGTCCACGAGTTTGACCCAGGAAACAAACAAAAATTCAGCGTTGCAGAATACGAGAGAGCAGCAGGCAAAGAAAAGGTCAGCAGTCACCCCGCCTGGTCCTCTGATCATATAAGTGTCAGCTCTGTGCCGACAGAGGCAGAACCGTGCGCCACAGCAGCTGGAAAAACAAAGGCTAATGTCAATAGTTCCACAGGACCTTTGTCCCAAAGGTCTGTTAACTATCCCCTGGCTTCAAGTGATGTGGACTGTGCGCTGGATTTGTCTTTCAAGCCTGTGCTGGGGAGAGATTCCTTACACCCCTCCTATGTCTTTGGACAGCTGGCTTCCGACAGCCAGCAGCAGGGTACCGAGCCACTTGTTAAGGATGAACAAGACTTGCTGTCAGATCAGGAGGATGGTGAAGCCAGGAGTCCGGAGAGTCAGCATTTTGGGAATTCAGCCAAAAGCCTGGTGACAGGGTTAGGACACATGTTCGCGGGGAATGGCAGCTCTCATGCCCGAGAGGAGGATATAGATCAAGAGCGAGATGAGAGTGAGGATGACATGGATTCGTCGGACATCTCCGCGGGTGTCCTTGTGCCTCCCGGGCATATCTGCATTTGCCCCCTCTGTAGCAAGGTGTTCCCGAGCCCGCACATCCTTCAGCTGCACCTGAGCTCTCACTTCCGCGACAAGGACGGCTCCCGGACCCGCCTGTCCCCCGACGGGTCGGTCCCCACTTGTACCCTCTGTGGAAAGACTTTTTCTTGCATGTACACGTTAAAGAGGCACGAGAGGACTCACTCTGGGGAGAAGCCCTACACCTGCGGCCAGTGCGGAAAGAGCTTCCAGTATTCCCACAACCTCAGCCGCCATGCAGTCGTGCACACCAGGGAGAAACCCCACGGGTGCAAGTGGTGCGAGAGACGGTTCACGCAGTCTGGGGATTTGTACAGACATATCCGCAAATTTCATTGTGGCCTTGTAAAATCCTTGGTGGTTTGAGACATGGAATTCTTTTTTTTTTTTTGTTTTTTAATCTCTTTTTTCTTTCTTTTTTTTTTTTTTTAAACTTTCGGTTTTGTTTTTTTCCCCTTGACCCCTTCAAAACAAAACAGGAAAAAAGGCAGCATCTGAATTATCCCCCCCACCCCTTATTTTATTTCGGTGATATTCACTTCAGGTATATGATCTTTAAAAGATGCAGAGGTATACACTCCAGAGGCCTTTTAATGCAATCCTTCCACCACCTCTCCATCCCTTCCCCTGCCACCCTTCCCTCCCAGCACTGCCCTTTAGGTCTTCTCTTGCGCGCACCCATGTTACATTATTAATGTGAAATGATCTAAGTAATTCTGCAATGATTTAGCATCTGTTTTCACGCTGGAAGTACTCACTTCGTGGTCAGGGAGATTTTGTTTGCTTGTTTGTTTTCTTAGGTTTTTTTTTAAATTTAGTTTGAAGAAAGATGATCAGCAAATTCCGGAGAAAAATTTGGATTCCATTAAGCTCTCCTAATGCTCTCTGCGTGTTGCATAGAAACATCCAAAGAGATGAACTATGATTTAAATGCATTTCAGCGTAGAGAAACTTGTCTGCATATCGCAGAGTAAGCGGATGTACTCTTATTTTATAGAGCTAGATGAGATGTTAAATTGGCCCAAATTATAAAAGGGGGTTGAGGATTCCTGGCTGCTTCTTTGGTACTGGTCGTTTTTTATTCTCTTTATTATAGTAGAATAGTTCTGCAGTTGGTCCTAATAATCTGAACAAGAAGGTTTTGCCTTGGGACTTGACTTAAATTTCCTCTCCCCACCCATCCTCCTCCTCCCTGGGCTGACCTACTGAAAAGCTGCTTTTCAGCATAGAATGTGGATGGAAAAACTCTTTCTGTCTACAGCTTATTCACTCCCGAAACGTTGAAGGATGCACACTAAGACATAAGAAACATCATATGGTATATGAATATTATTCCCATATCGACACCTAGGAGCTCATCCTGTCCCCCTTAAGGGGGACAGCGACCCTACAGCAGTTAAATAACCCCTCTCAGTATAGGACTCCTGGGATTTCATAGTAAAAGGTAACTCATACCATGTGTGTTAGGAGATGCCCTGCTGTCTCGTCCGGGAAGTTTGCTGCTGTGCTAACATCAGCAGCTTGGAATTCTGTTTTATTTATCATGAAGTTGGTGATTTCCTCCGCACCAGATTCTGTGCAATCGCTGGTGTTTCAAAGGGGCACTATGAAGATAAACCGCTGGAGGGAAAACATGGCCCAGCATTTTCCCCCATGTCCCACCTTTTCAGGGGAGGTTTTTGGGGTATTTTCAGGTATTGGGTTTTGGTTTGTTTGGTTTTTTTTTCCTGTTTGTTTGTAAACTGAGGCTGCTTCTAACTATAACCAGTTATACTCCAAATAACTGAATTACTTGCCTAATAGAGCATCCTTTGATCTGTGCATGTTGGTAAATAACAGATTATTCCCTTCCAGTCAAATTACCTATTCAAGGTACATGTACATGGGACTGAAAAATAATAATAATAATATCTGAGGTTTTGAATGTCGTTCTGCTGTGTTAGCGTTGCCTCACCGGCTTTCCTGACACTCCTGGAGTTGTTTTGTGGAACTTAAGCATTTATTTTAAAATTAATTTGAAGCACTGAGATAGATTAATTTAAAAAGCTGTGCTTAAAATACTGTATTTCATCTTATGAAGAAAAGACTTCCCAATACTTTCCCCCTCTGGTCCATAAACTGAGCACTACCTACATAAATAATATGGGATGTATTTTTTTATTTTAAGTAAGTACTTCCTCTCTTAAAGAAAATCAGGATATACTTGTTACAGCCTCCTCTTGTTATTCATCTCTTAAAATATGAATGTACATGTAATGTGAAATTTTGCTTCTATTTATAGTTTTTGGGTTTTGTTTTCATTCTAATTTCTTAACTGTAAAATATTTTTGCTGAACCTGTTACATATGAAAGTTGTGGGAGAGTACTGTATCTTGAGCATAAGTGGCTTTGGTACTGTGGTTTTATTCTACTTAATCAGTTTTTTTCTTTTTTTTATTTTTTCCTTTTTGCAGTGATTGGAAATAGCACTGAACAAAATCTACTAAAATTAAGTTATTTTTCTTTCTACTAAAATTAAGTTATTTTTTTTCTCCTGAAGATACTTGATATAGTATTTATTAGATTTTTTTTGTTGTTGGTTTTGGTTTTTGTTTTTTGTTTGTTTGGTTTTTTTTGAAGTGGAATTATTACTGTTAATCTATTTCAAAACTAGTTAATTTACACTTCACTTTAAATTTGATAACAATGGAATTTGCATGTTGAACAACATGTAACAAGTTTAATGTAGAGTCAGCATTACTGAAGCTGGTAATCTTAATTTTGCATTCTTGTTTTGCATTTCAGTCTTCAATTAATGTTGGGGGTTTTTTAATTTTTTATTATTTTTTATTTTTTTTTCTTTAGAAGATCATAAAATAGGATATGCCATAAGAACATCATTAGCGTATGGAGCAGGGAAAAGTTGAAATGGGTTTGTGTCTGATCTTAGTATAGAAATAATTCATTAAAACTGATGCTATGAGCATGCTCTGTACTGCAGTGAATATGGGGCAAAAGTTGGGGGTTTTTTTTTTTTTTAAGAAGAAAAAAAGACTTTCTCATTCTTGACTACATCATGGACACACTGTTCTCATAGTCTGGTATTTGTGTTCCCACTCATAGCTTGAATTTCTAAAGTAAAAGAATGTTTGCACTTATTTTTGTTCTTAAGGTGACTTTTTTGGCTATCTCTTTGTGTGTCTCTCTTATTTTTAAGTTGCAATAGCTCGGAGCATGTTTTCAAAGTGGTTCATGAGTCTACAGAGAAGTACTAAGAACGTGGCACGCTTACGCTTGTCTCTTCATGAACTGTTTCACTGTGGGGCGGTTGCTGTCTCTGTAGGGCACAGTCCTGCTCTGCATTTTAAACACTGGATTTGACTTCTACTACAAACAAATACTGTGAAGTTAATGTAAAACAAAAGCAAAAAAAACACAAAAAAACAAAAAAACACATTGATATTTTTAATTGTTTTTAATCTTGGTGCAGTTCAGATTAAATATGTATATTTAAAGACACTAATTTTTGTGGGAGAGTTTTATAGTATACAGTATGTAGAAAAGCTATTGGAATGGAATATATTTTATAAAAATGTTCTATCACTGTTTTATAGTGAACTATTTTTTCCTCAGTGTTAGTGTAATACTGTTAGTCTAGATACGACAATCGCAGGAAGAGTGATTCAAGCTACTGTTAGCGCGTAGTTTTGCGTGGAGTTCCGTTTGCAACTGTATTGGTATGTGCTGTACAATGTGACAATCGTGACTAGGATTGTTGTCTTTATAAATTTACACAAAATAAAATGTGCTAGAGTTGTAAGCTTGAGCCTCCTCCTGCCCCCTTTAGCAGAAGGGGTGTGGTGTTTGGGTTTTTATTATTAATTATTATTACTAATATTTTAGAGGTGGTTTGTGCTGTGGTTTGTAAAATTATCGTTATGTACTCTAACAATTTCTTTCTTTTTCAGGGCCACGTGGAATTTTAGGCATGTGAGGAGCTGTTGTATCTCAGTCGGAGCTTGACTTGAGTGTTTCCTTGGGCAGGACTAAAACCAGCATCACCCCTGCATTTTAATCAGAGTATTGGTGAGGTTTGAAGGGCCTCAGCTCTCCCTCTGATGCCCTAAGTGAGCTTTGGATCAGCGTTGCCCTGACGATGCTGCTTTGCAGCCACAGCCGGGTGCTGGGGACCAGGCGACAAGCCTGTGAATGCAGAAGTGATGTGGTATGCGAGGACAGCTGGCAAAGGTGCCAGTGCCTGCTAGCATCCCAACACCACTGGGCTGACCAAAGCCACGTTGGCTAACTTAGATGAGGGGGTTCTCTTAAGCACCAAATCTCTCCCAGGTTTGGAAGAGCTAATAATCTGACGCAACTCCCACCAACATCCACGTTCAGGAGCTGGGATTATGAGGAAGAAGACTCGAGGTATCCATGCCAGCTGATGCTCACGGGAGGAAAATAAGCTGGTGGGTAGGTTTGCACCTGTACTATGTGCAGTGCATCTTATGTTTCTTAGCTACTTGGAGGTGAAGGATCCTTGCAGAATCAGGCTGCCTGGAAATGGTGCTGGTTGAAGGATGGGTAATCATAGGTAATGCTGGTGTGGAGGCACAGGTATCTCTCCTGTCCTGCTATCGTGTAGCTTCTGCTTTGCTATTGTCTCGAAAAAGGTATGTATATTCAAGCAGGTGTCCTGCCTTGTAGAGCTAATGCGTCAATCCCTGTTTGCAGGGAGGGCAGAAAACTGCTGGAGATGTGCAGTGGTCCTACTGCGATGTGGTGAAATGTTAGAAACTAGAAATATATGTATTTTTTTAAATTTCTACCATTGAGGGCTCGATGTCCCTGCAGCTGCTTACTTGTGACTACAGGAGGAAGAGTGAAAACAGTGCCAATGTATGGAAGAACATTCAAATGTGTTCTATTCCCTTCTGTGTCCCCCCTCCTAAAAAACAATGTGTCCAAATCTGGGTGCTGTGCAAGGGAAGTGGGGAGCAAAAGGCTTTCTTTGAGGGAGAGGGTTCTCGGAAAGAAGCAAGCTTGAAGCTAAACCTAGGAGGTGGATGTCTTGCAAACGGGCTATAAATAACTGTGAGTGGATTGAGGAGAGCAGCCCACATCTACTCTGGCATGGGCATGCTGTGCCCATTTTCTTTGTTGATAGCAATTGCTAATGTGAATTCTGGCACTCCAAATCCTGATGCCTGTTGTTCTGATAACATAATTAAATCTTAGGAATGTGAAATATAAAAAGCTTTGAGAAGAAACCAGGCCACTAAGCGGATACTGGAAAGGGGGGCGTGGGGTGTGTATGTACCGACTAAGCAATGGGATCCCTCTGGGCAGGGTTTCCTGCCTGCCGGCTTGAGGGTATGCTGGGAATG